ATTACTTACGATAATCATAGCCATAATAAAATTATCATATCAATGAATAATTATTTCCATATTATTTTATTATTATTTATATTATTTTATTATTATTCTTATTCTTTCAGCCAACTAGACTAGGCATAGCTTCAGTTACGGCGAAATCATTTTTCGTCAGTCGCTCTGTCGTGAAGTAGTCTCAAAAAATTATTTTAAAAAATAATTATATTATTATAATATAATAAATTTATTATAATATAATAAATTTATTATATTACAATATAGATATATTATTATGCTGTAATTCATGTATTTCACTGCAATTGAGATATACTGACTGATAGACTAATATATACTATTTCGCTAACAACACCCATGTTATCTGATTAATTAACTTTAATAATCTTTACTGCTACTACTAATAATAATTAACTTGAATAATTAATTTTAATTATTGAACAGCAATAATAATTAATTGTATATAATAAACGACGGTAAGCAACACGCTAATCGAGTATGTCGGGATCTATCAATACCGATCGAGACTATCGGGGGTGCGTCTACATCCCAAGGGCGGATGGTCACCACTCGCATGGTGAAAACGGGCAGTTCAGTGTAGTAGAATTACCGACTTTTAAGGTAAACGCCAACCAAAAGCACAGCAAAGTCGAAGTATTCGTTGAAGATCCGACCGGTCAAACGATAAAACCGTACGTCAAAGTTGTCGGTGATTTGTATACCAGTACCTTCTTGCCGAAAATGACAGGTTTGTCGGTGTTTATATTTGTTGGGATGTGTTTTGTAATTGTTGTGCGCAACGTAAATCACGGTGAACACATGCAAACGTTCGTACATGCTAACAGGCGATTATTTAGTCTCGATGTGTGTTGATGGCGAGAACATCGAAGGAAGTCCATTTTATGTGAAAGTATTCGATCCGAAACTCATCCGAGTACTCGGTCTCAGAGGCGGAATCGTATCCCAACTCAACGGTTTTTCCGGTAATTATTAATGATTATAAAATTATTGATAATTATGGATTAGTTAATGTTATTTGTTCGTGGAATATATAAATATAACTGCCTCAAATGATAAATTGACACCAACACACTCACACGTCCACAGTTAATACCGACGGGATTGGAGAGGGACCGATGGCAATTACGATAACCCACCTTGGATCAAACAGGATAGTCCCGGCGAGAATAATGCAAGATCCGGGCCGGAAGTCCCTCTTCCATGTTGAATGGATGCCGGAAGAAGCTGGATTCTACCGAGTTAATGTTCAGTTTGCTCGTGTTGATGCTGATGGTGAGTAGGAGATGATTATGACGATGACGATGATGCTGAAGTTGATGATGAGGATGTAGATGAGGATAAAGACGATGATGCTGGCGACGATGATGACGTTTTAATTTAAAATCCTAGTTAGAAATCTTTTTCATCCTTCCAATTTCCAGGGTCTCCATACACAATTGAGGTCATCAACCCATCTCTAAGTACTATTTCCGGTTTAACATCCGGTCAACTGATCTCGGCCGGCCAGCTAAACAAGTTCATAATTAGAGTTCCGTCAAAGATGGTGGTCATGAATGAAATGAGGGTTGACGTTACGGGTTAGGGCCATTACATTATTATAGTTATAATTTTCCTTAATTGGTAAATTATGATATTATGGCTATAATTTTTGTTTATAATAATACCGAAGATCCGATTGGCGTTCGAGTACCGGCGAGACTCATCGACAACAACGATGGAACCGTCGCCGTCGAGTTCCTACCGATTATTATCGGTTAGTTGTGTGGATGGTGTTGATTGCAGTGGCGATGGGGGAGAGGTAGTTGACGAAGACGAGTCAATTGCAAAGAACACCCCCATAGAAAAATATTTCCTTAAACTCAAAGCATGAACTTGTTAATCTTTCGTTTTTTTTACTACGTCGTCCTCTTAGGTTCTCACGTGATAACCGCCTCGTATTTCAACATGGCGATCAGCGGGTCACCCTTCAAGGTAACGTCATTTGACCCCGCAAAGGTCAAAATCATCAACTGGAAACCGGTTGGAAACGTATCGAAGAGTGTCGAGTTTGACGGTCGGTGTTGATGATAGTGATGTTGTTATTTCTTCTGTATCATAATCACAACCTTCACTAGCGTCATCATCGTCGTTATCGTCCTCACCATCACCACGTTCGTCATCATTGCAGTTGACATTTCAAAGGCGGGCCCAGGTGACCTTGACATTGGAATTTCTGGAGGCGAGGCCCCCTACCAGATCCATGAGAGAGAGCATGGAATCTATAGGGTCACCTTTACCCCCAAACAACCGGGAACTCTTAAATTTGGATTCACGTTTAATCACGTAAAAATCAGCGGTTGGTTGATCTGTGATTGATTGATTGAATTATTGATTGATTGATTGATTGATTAAATGATTTATTCATTGGTTCACTGACTGATTCATTGATTTGATTGGTTGGTTGGCTGTCTAGTGTCTGGTTACGCTACTGAATGAATGAATGAATGAATGAATGAATGAATGAATGAATGAAAAAAATTATTTACAAATGAAAAGAAATAATTTTTCTTCCTAAGGCGGTCCATGGACGTGCGTGGTGGCAAGCGCCCCAACGGCGGCAGCGTTTGGTAATGGCGTCCAGCCATCTCCCTCACTCCTCATAAACACGCCCACATTTTTTGAAGTCAAAGTTCAGGGGTCAAATGAAGATGCTCACGTTGATGTTGTCGTCAAAGGTCAGTTATTTGTTGCTATTTATAAAGTAGTGAGATGTTTTCAAGGATATCACCTAACATGAAAACTTACGTACAACTTCATTTGAAAAAATACATGCAAACAAACACGCACACACACACACACACACATATAAACACATACACAGACACACACATATAAACACATACACACACACACATACACAGACATACACACACACATATAAACACATACACACACACACACATAAACACATACACAGACACACACACACATATAAACACATACACAGACACACACACATACACACACACATACACACTCACATACACACACAAAGGACCAAACGGAGCAGTGATAAACGCCGACAAAATGGGCTCGATAAACAACGTGCACAAGTACCAGTACACACCAACTTCTATTGGTCAGCTTTTTCACTTACCTATCTCATTATCATAATTCATTCACCAATTAATATTTATTCAATCGCTATTATTATAATTTAACATAATTTATTCATATTCATCCTCTCCACAAACTCAGGCTGCTATTCAATCGAGATAAAATTAGACGGAGTGCCAATATCGGGCAGTCCCTTTACGAGCAGGGTCTACAGCCCCGGATCTGTGATCCTGGGCGAGGTCAAGCGCGGATTTGTGGGAAGGGAGGTGGAGTTTTCTGTGGATGCGAGTCAGGCTGGAGATGGGAGTGTGGAAGCTGTTGTGGACGGCGGTAGTGTTCCTTGCAATGTTGTTCAGACGACTGCTAGAGGTTGGTTGGCTGGTCTGGTTGATCGCTGATTGGTTGATTAATTAGCTGGTTGGTTGATTGGCTAATTAACTAGTCATCATCGTCATCATCATCACCATCATCATCATCAGGAGTATACAGCGTCACGTTCATGCCGAAGGAAGCGAAAGTGTATAACGCCACCGTCAAATTTAACGGAGAAACAGTGAAAGGTGGCGATGATGATGATGATGATGACGACGGAATGATGATGATGATGACGACGGAATGATGATGATGATGATGATGACAATGTTGACGACGACGACGATGATGATGATCATTTAAAAACCTAAACAACAACCTCGACACAAATGACGCCACAATACGATCACGACCGATCCAACCAATCAGGAAGCCCCGTTTCGGTCAACGTCCTTGACCTTTCTAAAGTGACCTTAGTGGGCGGAAGCGGTGACCTGAAGGTGGCCGTCAACAAGGTCTGCACTCTGAAACTCAACACGGCCGGCAGCGGAAATGGACAGTTCACGGCCATCGTCAGAGGTAGGTAGAAGAGATCTTAGCAGTAGTAGTAGTAGTAGTAGTAGTAGTAGTAGTAGTAGTAGTAGTAGTAGTAGTAGTAGTAGTAGTAGTAGTAGTAGGAATAATAATAATAATAATTAAACAGCGCCATCTGGAGCAGAAATAACGCCGCTGATAAGGGAAGTTAACAAAAAATTCTTGGAGATCGAATATACACCCAAGGAAATCGGTGAGTAAAATTAATAACAATAACAATAATAATAATAACTATAATAATAATAATAATAATATTATTATTATTATTATTAAAGGGGTGTATTGTGTGGAGGTTGAGCTAGAAGGCATGGCCCTCGCGGTCAATCCAATACAATTCTCAACGTACAACTCGTCCAAGATTAAAGTCCGTGACATCAAGGACGGCATTGTTGGAAAAGTGATGAAAATAACTGGTTGGTTGGTTGGTTGATTGATTGGTTGGTTGATTGATTGGTTGATTGATTGATTGATTTTTAAGTAAAATTTGCTAATTTATAGTCGAAGTAGTTACTGCCAATTACGAATTATTTTAAAATTGAGACGATGAATATTTCCTCAACCTACTAGAATTCCTTTTGTAATCGGTTCACGATACTTTCTTCTTTTCGTCAATGTTAACTTCTGGTTTTTGTATCCTTATAAGTATGTACACAGACATTTTGTGTGCTGCTGAACTAATAAAAATTAACTCGATCAACTGACTGATAACATTTAATTATAAACGCCATTAAATTTAAGCTTCAAACCACCCAACCATCAAACCAACCAACCAACCACCTAATCATCCAACCAAACCAATTAACCACCTAATCTTCCAACCAACCAACTGCCCAACCTTGCAGTCGAATCCGGTGATCCTGGAGAGGGTGACCTCAAGTTCAGCGTCCTGGGGCCAAACGGGGGCCTCCTCAACAACTCCGTGGAGCAGATCAACTCGTCCAACTACTCGGTCGTCTTCACACCCCTTATCCAGGGCCAGCATCAATTCACCATGAGTTTCAATGAAGAGCCAGTGATTGGTTAGCGAGAATCCATCCATTAATTCATTAATTAATCGACTAATTTATTTATTTATTTTTCATTTATTTGTTTATTAATCAATTAATATTAATTAAAAACAATTGATCGAATACTTGATTTATTTGTAGTAACTGAATATTATAAGTATCAGGTATTTACGCAAACACACATACGCACACACACACACGTACACACACACACGCACACGCACACGTAGGTAGCCCATTTACGTTCCAAGTGTACAACGTGAACAACATAGCAGCCACTGGGCAGACGTTGAGGTCATTCGCCTGCAACAAGATGGCCACCTTCTTTATTACGTCACCTCACGTGATCAGGGCTACTGACTGTGACGTCAAGATTACTGGTCGGTCCTGATGACGACGATGATGATGATGATAGTAGTTATAATAATAATAATAATTATAATAATTATAATAATAATAATAATCTACCCAATACTAAAAACAGATCCATCCCTGAAAAACGTCTCGGCGCGCCTGTCAGACATGAACGACGGTACCGTTAGGTGCGATTTCACAGGGGCTGCTCCTGGTAATGATGACGATGACGATGATGATGATGATGTGGATGATGATGATGATGATGATGTGGAAATGATGATGACGATGATGATGAAGGGTACTTCTATTATGATGATAATGAACCATTACAAACACCAGGCGACTACAAGATTGATGTGAAGTGCTGGGGTCATTCCATCCCCGACAGCCCCTTCCTCTCCAAGGCCAGTGACGTCACCAAGGTCACGGTCACACCTATCCTATCGGCACTCGTCGGCTTGAACTCGTCGTTTAACAGTAAGTAAATTATGGCGATGATGTTCATCGCCATCCTCATTTTCGTCAACATCATCATCATCATTCTCACCATTACTTTCATCACCATCATCATCATCACTCTCATCATCACTCTCACCATCATCACCATCACCACCATCATTTTGACATCATTACTACAACCAGTAAATGTGAAGGACGCTGGCGAAGGCACCCTGGAGATAAGCATCCAGAATCCAAATGGCCAGCAGATCCCAAACAGTGTTGCACCCTTGGGCCCGGGCCAGTTTGTCGTCACCTTCATGCCCGCAATTCAGGGCACACACCATGCCAATGTCACCTTCAATGAAGAACCTGTAAAAGGTAGTAGTAGTAGTAGTAATAGAAGCTGCTGCAACAGCAACAGCAGCAGTAGTAGTAGTAGTAGAAGTAGTAGTAGTAGCAGTAGTAGTAGTTGTAGTAGTAGTAGTAGGAATAGCATTTTTAATAGTCCAATTTGTAGTTCCATTACCATTTTGTCACCATCATTATTACCATCGCCGTCGTCAATCTTCACCACCATCATTACCATCATCATCATCATCATTGTCATCATCAATCAATGACCATCATTAACAGGAAGTCCATTCAGCATTCAGGTCAATGACCCCACGAAGTGTCAGGTCAAAGGTGAGGGTCTCGAGATGGTCAGATGCAATAAGGCCACGAACTTCGTCATCACATCTTCCGGAGCTACAATTAATAACGTCAACGTTAAAATAATCGGTTGGTTGGTTGGTCGGTCGGTCGGTTGATTGGTTGACTGATTGGTTGGTTGGTTGGTTGACTGACTGATTTACATAGTACACTATAAATACCTTTCAGAACATCCATTTAAAATGTATGTAAAAACTTCAAAACTATGAAAGAGGCAAACATATAAACACGAATAAACAAACATATACATACATATATACAAACAAATGAACGAACGAACAAACAAATGAACAAACAAACGGGCAAACAAACAAACGAACAAACGAATAGGACCAAAGAACTTAGACGTAAGAAGTCGCATCAGCGAACAAGGTCCAGGTGTATTCAAAGTTGAATACACACCTTTAGTACCAGGTAAACACGTGATGATGATGATGATGATGATGGTAATATTGATGATGATGATAATGATGATGATGATGATGAAGATGATGATGATGATGATGATGATATTGACAATAATGACATCAAAAATGGTATTGGAGTTTTTTCTTAACGATGAAGATGCTAAGTAGGAGTGATGTTGTTTAAGAATAATTTAATTTTCATCCTTTCACTCATTCATCTATTCATCTATTTATCCATCCATCCATCCATCCATCCATTCATTCATTCATTCATTCATTCATTCATTCATTCATTCATTCATCCATCAAACACAGGCGACTACGTGATCGATGTGGAAATTTTCGGCAAGGAGGTTCCGAATGGCCCCTTCACTGCCAAATGCTGGGACCACACGAAGGTGAAGTGTACCAAGATCGCATCTGGAAGAGTCGGAGTTCAAACTTCATTCAACCGTAAGCGCTATACAAATTTGGTTTTATTTTTCGGGATATAAGATTATTAATTGCGGATTAAAAAATGCGAAAACTTATTGATAAATTGAAGATTTTATCAAGAGAATTAAAAATTAAAAAAATTAATGAATAAGCAATTGAAATGAAAAAATGAAAACCGACCGACCAATGGCAGTGGACGCCAGTGGCGCTGGTGAAGGCGACATGGAGATCGTTATAAGTGGACCGTCGAGACAAAACATCGCCAATCACGTGACACCTCTTGGTCCTGGTCTGTTTGTCGTGACCTTTACCCCGGAAGAGGGTGGAGTTCATAAAGTGTCGGTGACCTTCAATCAGGAAAACGTAACTGGTTAGTTGTGTGTGTTGAGCCGTGTCAAAACGAAACGAAATGTTGGATAAATTGCAAGCGTTTATAACTCGCTAATTAAAAACTTTTAAACGTACGCTGTCGAACTTACTAGAAGTTTAGGACAATATTAATCATCTCTTTCTTCCCCACAACCACCACCACCACAGGAAGCCCCTTCATTTTTAACGTCATTGACCTCGGGAGGGCAAGTGCCAGAGGTGATGGCCTTGGAGCGGTCAAGGTCAACACGAATGCCTCCTTCCTTATCACAGCGCCTGGAGCAATGGAGAAAGATCTGGAGCTTCTGATCATGGGTGAGTGGCGATGATGATGAAGATGCTGATGACGATGATTATTATTATTATTTATTGTTATTATTATTTATTATTATTGTTATTATTATTAGCGCCTAACGGGAAGGAGGTGACGCACAAGATGACGGAAGTGGGAAACAACGTCTTCAAAGTTGACTACACGCCAACGATGGCTGGTAAGTTCGTTGATGATTGATTGATTGGTTGGTTGGTTGGTTGGTTGGTTGATCGGTTGGTTGATTGGTTGGTTGATTGGTTGGTTGATTGAACGATCGATTGATTGATTGTTTGATCGATCGATCGATTTTTTTTTTAGGTGACCACAGAGATGAAGTTAAATATTTCGGCTTGGCCCTACCTGGGCTGCCCTTACTACCCCAAAGTTTGGGACTCGTCGAAAGTTCTCGTCACCAATGTTAAAAATGGCAGAGTTGGCAATGTCAACGTTTTCAATTGTGAGTTTGTCTGTGTGTATGTCTGTGGGTATGTCTGTGTGTATGTCTGTGGGTATGTCTGTGTGTATGTCTGTGTGTTTGTCTGTGTGTATGTATATGTGTTTGTCTGTATATATATATATATATATATATATATATATATATATATATATATATATATATATATATATATATATGGTTGGTACATGTTTGTCTTAAGATTACTTTGAATATATTTGTATGCGTTGTTTGTATGGTTGTACGTTTGTATGTTTATATGTATGCGTTGTATGTTTGTATGCATGTTTGTTTGTTTGTATGATCAAGGCAACAACACCTCTGGCGATCACATAATAAATAATAAACAACAACATAGTAATTGATGCACTTACCTTTTCATTTGACCTCAAAACATATGACCCAATTTGACCTCAGTGGACGTGACGGACGCTGGTGAGGGCACCCTGGAGATCGGGGTGACCAGTCCCTCCGGTCAGAACATCCACAACAACGTCATGCCATCGGGAGCTGGCAAGTTTGAAGTTTCGTGCGTGCCATTGGAGCCGGGGATGTATAAGATCAGTGTGACTTTCAATAGAGAGAATGTTGTTGGTTAGTTAGTGAAGATGGTGACGATGAAGATGATGATTATATTGATGAGGATGACGATGAAGATGATGAGTATGACGATGATGATGACGAAGATGATGATGGAAAATTTAAAATGGTGGTTAACAGGAAGTCCGTACAGCTTCCTGGCCACGGATATGAATAAGGTTTTGGCACGCGGTGACGGATTGGGAGGGGGGAGGTGTGGCGTCGCCACGTCCTTTGTCGTCACTGCTCCAGCCGCTCAACAAAAAGATGTTGATATTATTGTAGTTGGTCAGTTGTTGTCGTTGTTGTTGTTTTTTGTGATGTTGTTGCTGTTGTTGGTCAGTTGTTGTGTTGTTTGTGGGGATGATGTTGTTGTTGATGATGATATTGCTGGTTACTTTTTTAACATATTTTGTTGGCCAGAAACAATTAAACAGTTTAACACTAACCCCACCATCAACCACCAACACAACCACAATCGACCACACCACATTGCCACCACCACTATCTTCTCCATCATTATCACAGCCCATCTTCACCATCATCTTCACCACCATCTTCACCATCATTTTCACCATCATCTTCACCACCATCTTCACCATCATCTTCACCACCATCTTCACCATCAATTTCACCATCATCTTCACCATCATTTCACCATCATC